CGCACCAGGAGCGGAACAGAGTGAAGTTCGGGCCGCTGAGTTGTCAGCAGAACTGCCTGCTGTGTTTTCAGGGTCAGAGCCTCAGTGAGAGCTGACTCAGCCCTGGCTGGTGTGGTTCGTGGACTGAGTGCAGGCCTGCAAACCAGAAGACTGAAGGTTCGATTCCCAGGCAGGGCACATGCCTGCTTGCAGGCCAGATCCCCAGGAGGGGGCACACGAGAGGCAAATACACAGTGATGTTTCTCTCCCTCTTTTTTCCCCTCCTTTCCCCTTTGTCTAAAAATAAGTAATAAAAAGAAAATGTTTAAGAGAGAAGAGAATTGACTCACCTGGTGGGCAGCACAGGTACTGCAAGAGGAAACCACCTCTGCCCTTGTTCTTTCCCTCCTTCCTCTTTCTTGCCAAACATGCATGTGATGGCTGGAGCACAAGCAGCCACTGTGGGCCATGAAGCAATGACGAGACTGGAAGCCAGCACTACATGTGTGGTACGTTAATGTAGGAAGTGGGTCCTGGCGATGCCTGGTACGCTATCTGACCTGTGGCTCTAATTCTAAAGGGCAGGCAGCCAAGTTGACCCAGATGTGCCCTTGACAAGGCGGACGGCCACTGCAGCATCCTACAGCACATTCCATAGAAAAGTCTCCCGGGACTTATTTATTTATTATTAAAAAAACATTTTATTTATTTTTTGACAGAGGAGAAGGGAAGGAGAAAGAGAGGGAGAGAAACATCACTGTGCGAGATACACAGACTGGTTGCCTCTCACACACCCCTACACCCCAGGACCGGTCCCACACCCCAGGCATGTGCCCTGATGGGGAATCGAACCGGTGACCTTTCCATTCACAGGCCGGGGCTCGACCCACTAAGCCACACCAGCCAGGGCAAGTCTCCCAGTTTTAACAAATCTTGAGTTTGCAGCAGGCCCTTCTGTATCTCAGAGTCTTGCAGGAACACCAGAGTGGCAGGGCCCTTGCCCGGCCCTGGGGGAGTGGGGAGCATTGGCTGGCTTGGTTAAAACAGCTTTCCCAGGCCCACCTGACACGCTTGCTTCCAGAAACACCTGGAGGTGTTTAATAGCGGCCAGAAAGGCCTTGGGGTTCCACAGCTCCCGGCTTGGCCACTTCAGAGGGTGCTGGGGCATTGAACTGAGACACCAACACTGAAAGGCACCCGGCCCAGTGCGGGCACACCGCAAGTGCTCACAAATGCTAGGGGGCTACCAGAGCCAGAAGTGGGGTCCAGGTGGAAGGAAGTCGCCTGCCTCCGTCATTCCTGCCTATTCTGGGGCACGGTCTCTGCTCCACCCTTTCCCTCCCCTGCCCCTGCCCACTTCTTCCTGGCCAGGCTGGTCTCCGGGAGGCCAAGCTGCGGGGTGAAAAGCTGGCACAGCTTTCAACGGGCACAGACCGCTCGGGCCCCGAAGCCACGCGAGGAGAAGAGAAGCAGCCCTTTGAGGCTGCTACTGATATCTCGTCTCTCTTCAGGTGGTGGGTTCAACCCTAAAAATACTCACTTCCGATGACAGGGTGCCAAGCGCTGTCACGTTGCACAGGAGGCTGGGAGGTTTCCTGGGGAAGGATCGGCTCGGGCCACGTGAGGGCCACCGCCCTGTGGCTGCCCAGGCTGCCTCTGGGGAGAAGGCCCCCTAGTGACCTGCAGAAGGGAGTTGGGGCAGCCGGGGCAGGGGCGTGAGCCTCAGGCCGAGCTCCTCGGGGGCAAAGGCCGGTCAGCAACGCTGAGCCCCAGCGTCCTGGCAGGCCCGGCTCCACCAGGGCTGGGGAGGCGGCTGTGGCCGTGCACAGAGATAAGAGATCGGCCCCGGCCGGGAGACCTGCTGGGGAGGTGACAGTGAAGTGGGAAAGGGCGGTGGGCTGTGGGCAGCACGGCCGTCGCTGCCCAGCTCTGCTGTGGGGCCCTAGGCCGGCTGCTCCGCTCTCTGAGCCTCGGTTTCCCCACCTGAAGTGGGAAGCGGTTGCCTCTGCTCTGCCTCCTTGGGCAGATCCAGGGCATGTGCTCCCACACTGCTTGGACCTCCGACCCCAGCACGCCAGGCTGTGCGCCCAGAGGGTCTGCTGGCCAATGAGGGGAGGCGGGGCCACCTTCTGGGTGGGGGGCGGGGCATGGGCAGTGATATCCACTGATTTTGATTCAGAGGGAGCTGGGATGGGGGGCTCTGATGGCCCCTGCCAGGGCAGCCACAGACAGACATGACTGTGGGGTTTGCTCGGAGACGTTGGCCTGGTCTGAGGGCGTTTCTGGTGGAAGTGGTCCCCCAAATGATCTGTTAGGCTAGCGCATTTCGAACGCCCAGGGCCCCACACGGATGGCCCACTGGGGTCCTGAGAGGGCTCTGGGTGTGAGCCGGGCCCAAGTGCTCGGCCCTGTGATGACCCCCACCCTGGAGCAGGTAGTCAGTCAGCTGTATCATGACTCGAGCTCCCTGAGGTCCCAGCCACCCAGGAACACCTGGGCATCTTGTTCGGGTGCAGATTCTGGTCCGGGAGGTGCGGGCAGGGTTCTGCCTTTTCTGACAAGCTTCCAGGCCAGGCCAGGCCGGGCCACTGGGCTGCACAGTGTGGGGCCACTTCCTCCCACCTGCAAACTGGGAGTGAGGACACACAGGATCTACTCAGCTGGCTGTTGCAAACGCACGACCGGATGAGGGGTAGAGATCACCGGCACGGGTAGTGTCTGCTGTCCCCATTGTCCTGTCGTGGCTGCATGGCCCAGACCTCTCCGGTCCCGCTGCTGCCCTTCACCCCACTCCTGGGGACTCTGCCTCTGCAGTCAGCCTCTGTACTGAGCAAAGATCAGGGGAAGGCTCCTGGGCACCAACCAAAGGTGGGCTCCTGCTCAGTCCCGGCCTCCGGGTTGGAAGGAGGCTGCCTTCAGTGGGAGCCCAGCTTGTTGCTTCAGTTTAAAGGGGTGACACAGGCCAGCCATGGGCAGACCCCAGGCTCAATGGACCCCAGCCTCTCCTCAGGCCCCAGCTCTCTCACCCTCAAGTTCATGGCCAAGTGTTGAACGGGTAGGTTGAGCCTCTCTTCTCCAGGGCAAGTCCTTTACATGGGGGTCAGAGTCTTCGGGACTTGCGGGGGTAAGGGTCACGAGGGTGGTGGGTTTCTAGGACTCTACACCAGACTCGGGCGAGGCAGGCCGGGGAAACTACAAGCATCTCCGTGGCAACCGGCTTTGTCCTTGTCCCGGCTTAGGGACCAGCGTGTGCCCCACACCCTTTCCTCTCCTGCTCAAGTCGCTTTCCGTGGGTAACCATGGCAACGCCTTTGTTTCTGAGGCCCAGCCCCGCCTCCTTCTGGTTTCTCCAGGCAGAAGAGGCTGGGAGAGATCCTTCACCATTCTTGCACGTTGCCAGCACCCGCTGACAGCGGGCTCACCAGTGTGTTGGCTCGGTCTGGTGATGGGGCAGGGCTGGCTTTCTGGCCCCAGAGGTGCAGCCTCAGCCCAACCCCTGCCTCGGAGGCCCCCTCCATTCACTTCTGCCCTGCTGTTCACAGCCGAGGTCAGCCCTGGACTTCAAGGCACTCACGTCCTGCTGGGGGCAGAGGCCCAGCCGGGGCTGATTTGTGGAAGAGGCAGCAGCGAGCGCAACCTTCCGAGTGCGCTCTGCAGTCCACCTCACTGGCTTAGACAGAAAGGGAAGGCCAGGCCACAGGGAAGTCTAGAGTAGAGGTTGCGAGAGGTGTGGCCGGTCCCAGGTGACTCGGCATTTCCTCTTGTTTTCCTCTGGGTCAGCTTCACTCCTAGGTGGCCGCTCTATTCATGGTGGCAAGAAGCCATCAGTAGCCCTGATGTAAGCCCTGTACTTACATCTTGCTGTCACCTCCCCCAGTTCTGGGAAGGCCTGTGAGCAGGTGGGAGAGTCATTTGACCTCAGCTGTCACTGAGCTTTCTGACCCTCAGCCGCCAGCACAGGGTCACCTGCCCACCTCCTAGCCAGCCAGGTTCATCTGACTCCACCTACTACTCCAAACCAGACCTGAGACTCAGGTGGGAGGAGGGTGGGAGACACCTGGTTTGCAAAGGAAGCTCTTGGTGTTGGCAGGCTCAAGCCCACACGTCTAATAAGGATGCCAGCTCGGGATCTGACTCCAGAGCATCTGGGCTTAACCACGGAGCCACTGCAGGTCAGTGGGACCCCCAAAAGGTTTTAAACAGGAGCAAAGGGTCAGGAATGCAGCCAGAGGGTAAATAGGCTCCAGATTTTGGTGAGCAGTGAAAGGCATGCCAAGAAGAATGAGTGGTGGGGAGCCCTGCCAGATGCTTAGCTGGGGGAGGCAGTTTTGAAAGGATGACTTCCGCCCCCGCCCCTAGGTTCGCCCTCTGGGTTGTGAGGCCTTGGCACACAACCACCTGCCCGCGGAACGTCAGCCACCTGACTTGGTGTTTGTAAACTCAGCTCTCTAAGCCACGCCCCTTCCTGCCTCCCGCCCGCCCCTCGAGTCAATATCTGCATAACCTGCCTCTCCGTGCTATGATTGGCTGTTCGCGTCGTCACTCCTTCGTGTAGGCCGGACCCCCGAGGGAAGGAGTGAGGTGCTGCCTTGGGGAAGTGATTAGCATAATCCCATCTCTCGGCTCTGAGCTCAGGTCGAGCGCTGATTGGGCGAGCAGCCGTCTAGGCCACGGCACGGGGCGCCTTGAGTGGCTGGTGTGGGCTGTCAATCGATGGGGCGGCCGGCCGCACTTCCGCCTCGGTGTCAGTGGGTCGTGAGCCTGTGTGGGGGGGCGGGGCGGGCTACGAGGCTCTGCAGGCGCCGAACAGACTAAGGTCCAGGTGAGTGACCCCGGCCCGGACCCCGGCCTCGACCCCGCGTCTCCCGGAACGGCTTCCGGCCTCCGGCGGGCCCGGGCCCCGGCGGGCGGCGGGGAGGCCGGGCCCGGGCAGCCGGAGCCCCGCGGTCCCCGCGCCGCGGCCAGGCCCCGAGCGGCCCCGGCCCACGAGTCCCAGCCCCCAGGAAACTTGGGGGGGAGTTGGCGGGCGGGGCGGGGCGACCCCCGGCCTCACTCGTGCGTTTGCGGCGGGAGGTCGGTCCCCGGCCGGTGGCCCAGAGCCTCTCCCGGGGGGACCACCTGTGCGTGCGCCCGCCCCCCACCCTGCTTTGTTTTGTTTACAGCCGGCCGGCGGGCGCGCCCCGCGGTCGGCCGAGGGCCGGGACCCCGCTCGCCGAGACGCGGGGCAGGCCGTCCAGTCGGAGAGGGTCCTCTCCTCTCAGTTCAGTTTCGGGACCCAGGTCGCTGACGCTGCCCGCTAGTGCGCGCAGATCCAGGCTGCTTTTCACAGCTGCCTTCCTGCTCCGCTCGATTTCGGCCCGGTCACAACCCGACGGTGGCTGTGCAGGTCCGTGAGCAGCTGGGACAGCTGGGCCGTCACAAGTCAGACCTCCCAGTTCCTGCGGACAAGGAGCTAGGGAAGTACGTGGCTCCTGGGGCACTCCTGAGCGTGTGTGGGGGTCACCTCCTAGGAGGCTGTGCTCCTGCGTCGGGGGTTTTCATCCTGAAGGGTCCCTGGAGAACAAGCTCGGGACCAGGAACCAGCCCCTCTGGCCTTAGTCCCTCTTCTGGGGCGGCCTGTGCCCATCTGGCGACGGGTCTCTCACCGTGTCCCAGCTGCCACCCCCTGGGGATGGCGGGAAGACACCTGTGGAAAGCACGGGTCCTTCCTGACAGTGCTGGGCTGTGGTGTCTTCCCAGGTCCCCCTGCCCCGGGTCCCTCCTCTGTGACAGGCAGCAGCCTTTGGCCCAGGCTGGGCACCCCCTTGCTCCTGGCTGAGGTCAGGAACCTTGTGTGCGGCCTTCCTCTTTGTCTGACCCCCTGCCTGGCCGGTGTTGTCATTTTAAACACAAGGATGAGGAAGCAGGCCATCTCCCTAGTCAAATTCACCTTCCTGTTTTTCCCTCCAGTGCCCTCCATTAGAGGCTGGCACCCAAGGTGGCGGTGGCGTGTGGCACAGCTCCAGGGTGGCCAGGAGCACCTCACAGCCCCTTCGTCGGCACTCCTCAACGCCCAGGGCAGCATGGTCCTGAGCTCATGCCGGTGGGGGCTGCGGAGCAGAGAGGCTGCACCCCTTACCCCTCGGCAGCCACACACAGCAGCGAGTGCACTTAGCAGCGGGAGCGGGCAGGCCCGGGGGCTCACACTCTGCAGCACTTCTCCCCACGGCCTTGTAAAGCCGGTCTTGTAAAGCTGGCCTCCTCGTTCACAGCGTCCCCTGAGCAGTTTTCTGTGGAGCATCCCAGTCGCGTGGCATCTCCGTGTGTCAGAACGTTGGTTCTTGCCGCATCCATAATAGGTGATCATTTTTTATAGGCACACATGCTTATAAAGCCGTTGTATTTCTTCCAAGGTGAAGCAGCTCCCCATCGTTCCCAGCTGTAGCTGAAGCACCTTGTTAGTAGTGGAGTCGTTGCATTTCTGGGGTGAAGGGGGGGTTGTGGGCGGAGGGTGGTACCTCGGGCGCTGGGGTCTGGCTCTGGGTGCACTTACTGCAGGTGGCTGTGAGGGCGCCGCTGGTCCCCTCGCCTGCGCTCAGGGCCAGGCTCCGGGCTCCGTGTGCTGGTCGTCACTTCAGTGTCCAGAAAGTGCAGCTTTCATCCTGGAGCCTCTGCTCTGGGCAGGTGGGGCTGCTCAACCTGGAAATGTTGTTACATCCAGCTCACTACAAAAGTAACACTTCTTTTTGGTGCAGACAGTTTTTGAAACATTTCATATACTTTCATACTACTGTGAAACCGGGAGCCGCCCTCTCTGGCCAACACTGCTCTGGCTCCCCGTGCGGAGCCCAGCCCCTCTTTCCTGGGAGTGGGAGCGAGGCCTTGGCGAGCGAAGGAAGGCGTGTCGGGCTTTCGTCTCTGAACTGAAGTGCTGACCACGGGCCTGGAGGTGACTGACAATGTTCCATTTGAGAGGTTAAGGCTCCTTCGGGGGGTCAGAGGGGACAGTGAGGCTGGAGCTGTAGGGCTCTGGCCCCCCACCCTCTAGCTTGGAAAAGGGAGGTGACCTGGCTGCTCTCGCCTCCAGGGTCCCGGCCCACCCAGTGGGTTGTTGAGCAGAACACAGGTGAGGAAACGTGAGGGCGAGGGTCCGGTGTTGCCCTGGGCGTCAGCACACACCCGCGGCCGCCAGCCCGGGCGTGCGGAAGTTGACCACACCTGACGGTGACCCCCCACACACACACACAGTGCAGTTCGGAGGTGAAGCCGAGGGAACCTGCGGGAATCGGGTTTGGTGCCACCGTGTGTGACCGTGGAGCTTTGACCTGGCCCGTGCTCGAGCGAGACGGTGCCCGGGAGAAGCCCCTCCAGGGCCTGTGGGGACTGGGCTGTCGCACGGCCACAGGCCCAGGGCCCGGGCGCTTGTTTGGCGATTAGCGGTGGTTGTCAGTGCGGGGCGTGACCCTGAACCTGGCGCACTTTGAGGCTGATTTGCAGCTTATCGAGACTGAGAGGAAGTCATGTGTGAACATGACTGCGTTTTAAGAAACAGGTGAATCCTAAGAGTTAATATTTCAGGGTCTGGTTAGACACTTTTTGCGGTTTCCATGGACAGTGGCTAAATTATAGCTCTGCTATAATTTTTGCTTTTCACAGTGGTTTTCCTAGGAAGTCTCAGGGGTTGCATGGTCCGGCTGAGCCTGCCTTGGGCACGTGGGGCGGGGGGCTGGCGGCAGCACCTAACAGCCGTGTGGTTGGATGAATGTTCATTAGCTGTGCCCATGAACTAGGTGGTGCTTCTGTCCTTTTCTTCCCAGATTCAGAAGAGAACTTAGGGTCACTGGGCAGGATTTCAGCACATCGGCATTTTCCCCACTGGCCCCCCGGTGAGGCCGCCCCCTGATCCCTGCCGTGAGCCACGCGGTGGGAGGGAGCCTTGGGGGTCTGCCTCTGAGCAGTGGGGCCGGCTGAGCCACCTGACCAGGGCCCGGCGGTGTGGAGCTGGGGGCTCTGGGCCTGGCTGCACGGTTCCATCCGAGAGTGGCCTGGGCATCTCCCTGCCCTGGCTCCTGTCTTTTCTAGAAACTGCCAAGGCCCGCCCCTGGGAACCGGCTGACTGGCTCTTGCTGGGGCAGACCTGACGAGCTCATTCCTTGACCAGAGGGCGGGACCTGTGGCCTTGAAAGGTGCTGAAAGGTCCGGGAAGCCTGTTCCAGGCCCGTGCAGGGGCCTGGGCAGAGGCGGCCTGGGAACTGGCTGCGGGGAGTTTTCCCGACTCCAGGGTCCCGGTGAGAGTGGCTGGTGGGGCGGGCGTATGGTGACGCAGAGGGAGCGGCTGTGTGTCCCCTGAGCAAACACCGGCTGCTCCCAGGCAGCTGCAGCCTGGCACCTGCGCCACCGGCCCAGCTGGAAAGTGACTCCTGCCCATGGGCGTCAGTGGCCGTGGCCGCTCTGGCGCACGAGCAGGCGCTCGTTGAGGACTGCAGCGGCGCCGGGGTTAGCGGGCACCTGTCAGACGCCGCGAGAAGGGCCAGGGACATCTTGTCCTGGACTCGGGTGAGTCAGGCTCTGCGTGTCAGGGCTCCACCGAGACCCCGCCGTGGGAACGTCTCAGCGCCACGGGCGGTTGCCGGGAAGGAGGCCGGGCTCCTGTGTGGCTGCGGCTCTCAGCACCGCCCTGCTTCTCGGCTGCCATGCGTGCGTGCGTGCGTGCGTGCATGTGTGTGTGCATGTGTGGGGCTCGGTGCCAGTGCAGGGTCCTCGGGTGCAGGTGTGGGGGGGACCCGTGGGATGTGCAGGTCTTGGCGGGGGGTGGTGCCCTGGGCAGGTGCCGGGTGGCCCTGGGCTCCGCGGTGCTTGGGGCTCCCTGCAGGGCTGTGACCTCGTTTTGGATCAGGGGTGCCCCCCGAGGGCTAAATGAGCCGCCTGAGCCACCTTCCTGGGGGAAAATGAACACAAACAGAAGTTTGTCATCTTTTCCCTTCCGTTTCTCTCTTTTTTAAAAAATAATATTTCTCTTTTAAACATTGTTATCTATATATATTTAAAGACTTTATTTATTTATGTATTTATTTATCTTTAGAGAGAGGGGAAGAGAAAGAAAAAGAGAAGGAAGAACAAATATCAACCTGAGGTTGCCTCTCACGTGGCCCCTACTGGGGGCCTGCAGCCTGGGCATGTGCCCCAACTGGGAATCGAACTGGCGACCCTTTGGTTCTCAGCCCACACTCAATCCACTGAACTACACCAGCCAGGTTTCTCTCCCTTTTTTAGGGAGGTGTAGAAATTCAAGGATTTTCTTGGCCTTGGTTTAAACCCCACCCGCACTGGGGCCCAGGAAGTGTAGCTGGGAGTGAGCAGGGCGGGTCCCCGGTCAGGATGACACATTTCCCGAGCAGTGAAACCGGTTTGGAGGCCGAGCAGGTGGAAGTTGGGGAGAAGCAGCAAGGCAGGACCGGGGCTGGGAGAGGGCCGCGGGCGAAGGGCGGGGGGTTGGGCCCAACTGCGTGTCAGGTGGAGGTGGCATTCGAAGCTTCCTGCCCGGCTGTGAGGGCGCCACGGGCGGGGCGGCGGGCACACAGGCAGGGCGGGTGCCCCGGGACGCAGGGCCCCCCCCCACATGCCACAGGGCTGCGATGCTGGGGCTCCCAGTTGTCCAGTCGCCACCTGCCAGGGCAGGGCCCTGCTTCTGGCCCTCAGAGGTGGACAAGCAGAGGGCAGTAGCCCTGCTGACCGTCTGATTTCTCTGCTGGTCTGGGGCTCAGGATGCCTGCCTGGAAGGGGCTATAATCTTGCACACACACACCCCCCCCCCCGCCCTTGGTGTTTGAACTGCGCGTCTGGCTGTCACCGAGTAGACCAGTGGGGTGTGTGCGTCCTCTCCCGGTCGGCGGGCCGCTGAAATGGCCTCAGGCTGCCCGGCAGTGTGAGCGGCAGTCGGCTACAGGCCTCTGCTCAGGGAGGCCCGGCCGCTCCGTCGGGGTGGGGCCCACCTGGGGCCCACCCGCCACCTGCGGCGCCCGTTCCCTTAGTTAGCAGTCCCTTCCTCTCCACTGCGGCCGCAGTTCCAGCCCTCGGCGGCGGCACCTGCACCTTGCGGCTGCCGTGCCGGACAGGGCAGGGAGGGCACCCGGGCCAGGCCGTGGGGGCTGGGGCGTGCGGCGGCAGGTTGAGTCGTCGCCTGCATTTGTTGTTTTGTGCCCTCACCTGAGGACAGTCCCATCCAGAGAGAGCGGAAGGGCGGGGTGAGAGCAACGACGGGGTGAAGGAGCCGCACGGATCGGCTGCCTCCCACACGCCCCGACGGGGACTGAACCAGCAACCTTCTGTTTTCTCCGACGGTGGGCCAACCAGCCGAGCCACGCGCCACAGCACGAGGCCTATCTTTTAAGGTCTCCTGAGACGCGTCGGTGGCCTCACGGTCTGGGAGGGTGTCCCCTGTGCCCCGATGAGCCCCGGGTCTGCTGCTGCGTCTGCTGGGTTGAAGTCCTCTGGGTGCGGATCTGCCGTCTGCTGGTCGCCTGCTACGTGTTCTAAGGTGTTAAAAAGATTTTGTGTTATTTGAACAAGTCAAATTCAGAATTCATACCTAACCTGCAGAGCGGACTCGCAGTTCCCGTGACATTGGGAACTTTTCCCGTTTTCATGGGCTTGCGGCCTGACTGCCCCGCCCATTTCTGCAGAGCAGAGATCCTCCATCTCCGTGACCTGGTCTGGAGAGCCGGTCGCAGGTGACCAGCCAGTCTCCTAGGGAAGCCGAGAGGGCGGCTGCGTGAGGCCCCAGTGCCAGTAGCCCTGGGAGGGCAGGCCTGTTGCATTCTGAGCTGGGGTCCGCGAGGGCGGGATGCGTGGCCCTAGTGGGCAGAGCTGGACGGGCTCTTCCCAGGCCGTGGGCGCTTTGTGGGAAGCGGGCAGGCCCAGGGGGCGTCTGGGCTGGTGCCTGGTGGGGTCCCGTGCAGAGTCTGGGAATGAAGACTCGCCGTGGCCAGGGAGGCTCTGCCGGGGCTTCCAGGAGGTGCCGGGCCCCAGGGTGGGGTGCAGGGTGGGGTGCAGGGTGGGGAAGCGAAAGGAAAGGAGGCACAGGAACGCGGTGCCTGGTGGCGTGGCCACTCCGTGTGCACAGAACGGGCCCACTCATGCCGCTGGTCGCCAGGCTGCACGGCACCTCCACGGCTGGGGGTGGGGGGTGGGGGGGCCAGGCCCCCCCCTCCCATGGTCAGAGCCGGGCCCTGTGGGGACAAGGCCCTCCTGTGGCTGTTGCGTCTGGCCGCCCACGGAGTGCCGCCCCTCCCCATGGCACGGGCTGACGTGCGTGGGGGGACCTGGAGCCTCGGAGGAAATTGAAGTGGGTGTCAGCTTGTGCTGACAGCTCCTCCGGAGCCGGAGACTGGCTTCGGGTTGAGGGGAAACAAATATTTTAACGTGGTTTTCCACTTATAACACCCGCCTGCTTCTGGTAAGGGCCCGCGGGACCTACCACACGGCTCCCACGAGAGTCTGCGCCCGCGTGGGCCTGCGCTCACTCCATTGGGTCCACACAGCTGTAGGGTTTGGCTCTAAAATAAAGACAGCCCTTCACACACCGGCGACGCACCGACGCGTCTGCTCCTGGGCGGGCCCTGGTGTCCTGTCCCCACTCGGGTTTTCAGAAATCGCGAGTTTGCTGCCAGACCTTTCATTGTACCCCTTTGCTAAGGTGTAATTGAGCTTGATTTAAAAAAAGGATGAGTGGGTACTTGAAAAACGTCGCTAAACTGTGAGACTTCGGAAAGCTAAGTTTGCCAAAATGTTTCTCCCCCCAGGTCTTCACCACCATCGCACCCCCCACGTGCCCCCGTGCAGTGCCAGCCCATTGCCCATGTAGACCCGGGCGAGGACCCGGTAGGGACTGCAGGCGGGCGGGCCGGTGCCGAGGATGGACGGGGACGAGGAGTTCTTCGACGCGGTCACAGGTGGGCGCGCAGCCGGCCCGGGCCAGACCAGCCCTGGGGGTGGGAGGGCGGGCCAGAAAGCCTGCCCCCGGGCCGGCAAGTGGACTTGGGGAGGAGTGTGGCCTGGGACCTCGGGTCATAAGAGAGGGCAGCCGAGCTTCAGCCTTCAGGAGCGGGGCCCGTGGCGCCAAGGGTCGAGGGTCGGTTGGTTTTCCACTTCTCCACGGCGGTGGTGAGGAGGGATGTGGCCTGGCCCCCGGCAGCCGCCCTCGCATGTCAGAGCAGGGACAGCGGGGCCTGCCGGCTGGGCCGGGGTGACCACGTGGGGCCGACCAGAAGGCCAGGACGGCCCTCGCTCTCTGCCCGCCACCCGTCACTCCGGAAACCCAGTCGTTTCTTGCTGGGGACTGCCGGTGGGGGGGCTCCAGGAGGCCGGGACACTGGCAGCTCGGAAAGGCTGCGGGGTGTCCGGGGAGGGCCTTTCTGCACAGTGGGGGTGGGGCGGCGCTTCCCTCCTGACGCCAGAAGGGCGCGGCTCAGTGAAGGCTCCCTGAGGGCCGCCACTGTCCCCCGACTCACTCTGCTCCCCCAGAGCCCTGGCGGGGCGCTCCTGTCACCCCAGAGCTGCTCCCAGGGCGGTGCAGTGGGCCTGGGGCACAGACTGGCAGCCCGAGGCTCTGACTGACCCTTGTCGGAACCCCCAGGAGGAGTGGAGTCCTCTTTCACGGTCGGGGTGCAGGCGCCATGCGCTGCGGAGGAAACTGAGTGCCCCTCAGTGCAGGGGTCAGGGAGCTGCCAGGGCTGCTGGCTCCGGCCTCGGTGCATCCCGCTCCCCTCGGGGGTCCCGTGCGCACCTCCTTGCCCCAGGGCCAGTGTGACCAAGACCCCTGGACACATCTGCCCTCTCCCGGAGACGCTTGGTAGAGCTCATGCCCGGGTCTGTGCGGTGGCAGCCCTTGGTGGGTGGGGACCGGGTGGGAGCGGCAGGTGAAGTGATTGTCACCTCGGTCCTCTGGTTCCAAACAAACAGGCAGGAAGAGCAGCACCAAGTGTCCCGAGCAGCGGAGCAAATGCAGGAGGTGCAGGGTGGCGGCCTCACTGCCCGGAGCATGGGCTCTCACCCTGTGGCAAAGGAGGACGGCGCCCCCTGCAGGCAGGGCAGGGCTGCGGGTGGCTGCCCCCACCACAGGGTGACCATCCGTGTGTCCTGTGCAGGCTTTGACTCTGACAGCTCTTCCGGGGAGCTCTCAGAGGCCGGTCAGGGGGTCCCTGGCCCGGCTGACGTGGACACCGGCAAAAGTAACGGCACTGGCCAAGCCGAGGAGAGGCCCCCTCAGGAGAATGGGGTTCAAAAGCACAGGTATGTCGCCCCGAGTCCGTGTTCCAGAACCTTCCAGTGTGTCTAGTGGCCCCAGCGCACTGTATCCCGGGCGGCACCCCACACCGGCACAGCCCAGGATTTCCAGACCCAATGCCGCTCCGTGTGGGCCTGGAGACCCGAGGCGGCGCTTCACAGGGACTTTCTACACGCCCCAGGCACGCGGGGCACAGCGGCCTGGCCTTCGGGTCGGAGGGGAGAGAGGGTTCCCCAAGTGGACCGCGCTGTCCTGGGCGAGTCTGCGCTGCACTGGCAGTGACAGGCGCCGGGTCACTGCTTTTCAGGACACGCCTGCCGGCCCCGGCTTTCACCAGGAGCGACTTCAGCCTGTGGGGCATCCTGAAGAAGTGCGTGGGCCTGGTGAGTCGCCGCTGTGGCCCCCGCCGCGCGGCGGGAAGGCACTGACTTGGCGGGCGGGGAGGTGGTTGACGAGGAGGTTGCCCTGCACAGGCGGCGACGAGCCCCTGGTCGGCTGCCTTCCGCAAAGGGCACCAGTGGGGGTGTTCGTGGGCTTCACGGAGGGTGGACCCCAGCAGCCCACCCACTCGAGGTTGCAGGCAGAGCCCAGATGCTCTCAGAGTCTAACCGAGAAGAGGGTCCCCAGGGTGCCAAGGCACCGGCTCTTCCCGTCCTCTCTCTGCTGACAGCCAGGGCCCTCACCTGGCAGCGGGTGGGCCCATGCTCAGCCGTGTTCGGGGACGGCCCCTGCTCTGGGGAAGTGCACCCACTGCCCCTCAGGTGCCCGTCCTGTCCTTCTCACGACCCCTGCCTGTGGCCCTGGTCCATCTCTGTCCTCTTTCCCGGGGGGACCTCCATGGTGTCAATCAGCAGTTTATTTTAGAGAAAGTTTGGACCCCACAGGGAGGTGCTGGGCAGCCCTCACCAAGGGGCACACTTCCTCATGGGGTGGCGGCGGTGCGGTGACCCAGCAGAGGGACCCGCAGTGACGTTGCTGTTGGCTGGACGGTCCACTGAGTCCTTCCCGCAGGCAGGAGTTGCCACGCTCAGACCCGGGCACGGGCTGTGGCCGTCGCCGTCCTCGGCACATTCGGGAGCTTCCCTCTCGGAGGCACTGTCTCCGCCTGTGACCAGGCCACTCAGGCACAGAAGTGTGTCTGGGGCCCTCACCTTGTGGGAGCCTAGCGCCCGAGGCAACTTTTCCACAGCTACCCAGTGACGCCGCCCCCCAGGGGCCGATGGCCCACGTGAGAGCTGGGCAGGAGCACAGGGTGGCTGTCCTGTCCTCGGAGCGCCCGGCGGTCACCACTTCAGAGCACACCCCCCCACCCGCTGGCCCGAGACAGCTTCCCACCACGCAGAGCAGCTGCCTCTGGGCGAGGGCGCCTCCGCCCCTCCCACCGACTCCGCCCCTCCCACCGACTCCGCCCCTCCCACCGACTCCGCCCCTCCCACCGACTCCGCCCCTCTTGTGCTCGCATCCCTGACGTGTCGCCAAAGGGCAGGACTCTTTGTAAACACGACCCCAACACCGTTGCCGACTTTTGCAAACCACGTAATTCTTTGGTGGCGGCAGGGCGCACGCTGTTCCAGTGTGCGGCATCTCTTGGGCTTTGGACTCTGTTCTGTGGGGGCCTTCCGTGGAGGTGGTTCGGGGCTGGCTTTCCAACCGAAACCTGCCGCAGTGCATGCTTTGCGCTCCGTGCCGCGCGCCGGGACCCACAGGCTCTCCAGGGCCGAAGGTCATGGTGGCACCGGCCGCCCCTCCGGGCTGGCTCTGCTAGGACGGCGGCGGCGAGAGGCATCAGCAGCCAGTGTGCGCTCTCCTTGCCGTCTTTGAACACAGGCCTGGATCACAGAACCCCCACATGGGCAGCCCGGCCCCCAGCCGGTCTTTCCTCTGTCTTACCCCCTGGGGTTTGCCCCCCCAGCTGCCCCTGCCTGGCTCGCCCTGCCCTGCCCCGTCCAGGCCCTGCAGGCAGCCCCTGGTCCAGGGACGGGGGGACTCAGGACCTGGGGCCCCTGGGAGGCTGCCGGGCAGGAAGGCAGCCACTGTGTTGGGATTTGTGTCAATGATGCGTCAGACTTGGGGTGACAGGGTTCCTCCAGCTCCTCCTTCTTGTGTGTGTATCTCTCCTGAGGGTGACGGGGGCCAATGACTTTTGGATGGTGTTTTGGGAGCATGTTTCCGAAAGTGGCGTCAAGGACACCCCGCGGTGGGGGGAGGCCCCCAGGGGCACCGGTGCGGTGGGGCCCTGCGGGCGCGGTGGCCACCGCTGCCGCCTGGCTGTGCGGGTGTCCGAAGTGGGGACGGGGAGCGTGGCGAGGCGGAGTCCGAGTGACAGCCGTCCTGTGGGGGAGCACCCGGGGCGACGTCAGGTCCCCTCCCGCAGTCCTCAGCCGCTCCCAGAAATGCCCTTAGAGGACTACTACGGGTGTGGGGTGGGGGCGCGGGCAGGGTTTCCGGGAGGGCTGCCTGTGACGCCCCCGTCGGCCCCCCAGGAGCTGTCCAAGATCACGATGCCCGTGGCCTTCAACGAGCCCCTGAGCTTCCTGCAGCGGCTCACAGAGTACATGGAGCACACCGCCCTGGTGCACCTCGCCGCCCGCCAGCCCCGGGCCCTGGAGCGCATGCAGGTGGTCCATGCTGCGGAGGGCAGTGGGGGGCTGGAGGGCGGGCCGCAGCTCTCAGGGGGCGTGACCCCCGTGACGGACCCCGTCACAGCAGGGGCCCGGCACGCCCCAGCACAGGGCAGCTGCGCCAGCCCCACAGGGATGCTGGGGACCTGCGTGTGCACGTGATGTGTGCCCCTGTGAATTCACGTGCGTGTGTGTGCGTGCGGGCAGACACACCGCCCTTGCCGCAGGGCCCGCCAGGAAGCACGGGCTGGGATGGGAAGGTCCAGGGCCCTGCTGCGAGTGGCTGCGCAGAGGTGGCGGTGACAGAAGGCGCTTCCCCGGACGCTGCCACAGACCCGTCCCGAGGGGCAGGCTGAGCTGTCACCAGAGGGGGAACCCTGACTCGGACGAGCGGGGGGCCTGCTCACAGCCCATGTCGTCCCCAGTGCGTGGCTGCCTTCGCGGTGTCGGCGGTGGCTTCCCAGTGGGAGAGGACCGGCAAGCCATTCAACCCACTCCTGGGAGAGACGTACGAGCTGGTCAGGTGAGGCCAGGCCTCCGGGGAAGAGGTGGGGGCAGGTGTGTGTCCGCTCTGGTCTCGGGCCACGTGGGGCCGGACCGTCCCCGCTGGAGGCTGGCAGGCCGGCGTCTGCAGGCCGCTCCTGTGGCGGGCGGCGAGGGTGGTGGTGGGACATCTCCAGGCGTCTCGGTGGGACCTCGAGTCAGCTGCTTCAGAGCCGCTGGTCTCGGAGTCTCAGCCGTGGAGAAAGCAGGAGGCGTCAGAGAGAGGGCAGCATGTGCCGTGGGGCTGGTTCGCGGGCGACAGAGGGCGTGTGCAGCAGGTCCCGGGCGGGGACTGGCAGGGAGCGGCCGGGCGCCTTCAGTGTACGGACGGGGAGACTGAGGCCCAGAGGCCGGACAGACTCGTCCGAGAATCGCTGCTAAAGGGGCCTTGGTTTGGATTCAGCAGTGTTGTCCCCTGAGAGGCTGGCCGAGCAGGCACCTGCCGCCACCTACCACGGCGTGGGTGCGCAGTCGGGACGGGGTCAGCCTTTCGTTTCATTTCACTGGCCGGCAGAGGAGCTCACACGCCTCTGGGCTCCAGCCTGGCTGTCTGTCACTCCTCCGTCCTGGTGCCCACACGTGTGCCATGTCTGCGGCTTGTGGTGTGGCCAGGACCCGGCGGCTGCCCTGGTGGGGCCGAGGAGCGGAGCCCAGTCCACCCCGGCTGGTCCTGGCACTGCAGATGCCCCCACTTCTGTCAGATGGGCACCAGTCTCAGACACCACGTGCCGAGGCAGCCGCCTTCCAGAGCCTAGTTTTCAACTCTCCTTCCCCTGTGATGGCTGGAAATTCAGAACCCAGTGAAGTCAGTAATTATGTGCTTTAGCTTCTGTCATTTTTAACGACTACAACTGTAGGTGTGTTCACAGTTCCGGAACAATTTAAAAATGACATTTTTATTGAACAAGACAGTGTAAAAAAACTCCCATTTCCTGGACAGAAATATCTTAGGGCCCAAGACTTCGCATCTCGAAACTTCCAGGGGCTGCGGGGGAGGAGGCTGGCGGGCCCCTGGGAAAGGCGTGCGGCCCTGGCCCTCGGGCTGGGCAGTGGGCGCTCCCGGGGCCTCGTCCTGACAGGCTCCTGCAGACCTGCGTGCTCGGGGAGGCCTCGGGAGCCCAGCTCACACGTTTGTGCATGTGTGCACAGGTGTGCATGCGGTCAACGTAGGGCAAGCGGGACGTCAAGGCGCAGGTCACACATTTCTAACTCGCGTGGCAGCGTGCAGTGGTCCCGCCTCCCAGTGTCCCCGCAGTCCCAGGGTCGCACGGCCTCCGAGCCTCGGGCCCCCGGGTCCCGGAGTCGCTGTGGCTCATGCCCCGCCCCCCGCCCACCCAGGGAGGACCTGGGCTTCCGGTTCGTGTCCGAGCAGGTGAGCCACCACCCTCCCATCAGCGCGTTCCACGCCGAGGGCCTGCGCCAGGACTTCCTGTTCCACGGCTCCATCTACCCGAAGCTCAAGTTCTGGGGGAAGAGTGTGGAGGCGGAGCCCCGAGGCACCATCACACTGGAACTGCTCAGGTGGGCGTGGGTGTGCGGACCTCGGCAGCAGATGCGTCTCCAGTCCAGTCGGAGCCCCCACCCAGGTCGTCCATCCTCTCCCCCTCGGCGTCTGGCTGATCCTGCGTGACGCCCCCACGCTCCGTAGGCCAGGACCGGTGATCCCACCATGGGGGGCTTCTGAGCGCCAGGGCCTGTGCGGCGTCCTGTCAGGGCAGCCGGGACGGGGGCCCCCTGCTGTACTGTGCACGGCACTGGCTTCCCTCAGAGTCTAGACACACTGGGGAAGGCCACTCAGACAGAAGCCCCTGTGGCTCTATGACCTCGTCTCACAGGTGGCCCAGCAGTGGCCCCAAGCCCCAGGGGCCGTTGCTGAGGCCAGCCCTGGCTGAGTGTCGAGGAGTGAGTTCCAGGAGTGGAGGCGCCTGAGGGGTCACCCATGAGGCTGCCCCACCCTGTCCACTCTGAATCTGAGTGCTCCGTACCACATAGGTCAAAGATACCTCGGGGAAACCGAGGCGTCCCCAGCAGTCACCTGGCTGCTGCGGAGCCATTGCAGCCGCAGTCCAGGCCGGAGGGCAGGCGCGGTGCCGAGGCAAGGCTGTGACCAGACCCCCAGTGGAGTCTGTACCCCGTCGGCCTGGCCTGGCTGGCTGCAAGAGGCCCACAAAGACCCTGGGCAGCAGCAAGGTCACCAGACCTGGGGGGACAGCCCCTTCGGGGAGACGTTTGGGCTTCATCTGGGAAATTCAAGGAATTGCAAATAACTGCCGTGAAATACGTCACACCGAGCTGATGTTGCCCTTAAATGTGGCTCTTCGACACGGTGTCCCGGGGACCTGGGTCTGGGGACGGGCTCACCTCACCTCCATGGGGGCTTGTCTCCGGGGGTCAGGCCTCCGGGGAGGGCGAGGAACCAGAGGGACGGTGAGTGCCATGCAGTCAGAGGGGCCGACCCCGGTGCCCACTGGGCGCCCGCGCACCTGCCTGCGCGGTGTGCCCTGTGGACACGGCCCCCTTTGTCTGGGCTTCATTGGCATTCAGGCAGACGCTCTGTCGTCCCTACAAGGCAGAGGAGAGCGCGGTTTCAAACGAATGCTAAGTGAGTCGCCGCCTCGGAGGCAGTTCAAAGCGACGCTCGGCTGCCGCGGGCTTCGAGGCAGTGACGCCGCTCTGTCTGGGGTTTCGCCCCTGGGCCGGGCGGTCTGGGCCCGGACGGTCTGGGCCCGGCTCTGACGCGGCCCCGGCCTCCCTGGCAGGCACGAGGAGGCCTACACCTGGACCAACCCCACCTGCTGCGTGCACAACGTCATCATCGGGAAGCTCTGGATAGAGCAGTACGGCACGGTGCGGATCCTCAACCACAGGTAGCCGCCGCCGCCGTGCCGGGGCCCGCCGGGCGGGCACACCGAGGGCTGCTGCCCCGGGTGGTTTTCTCGCAGCCGGCCTGTCGCGCCCGGCCGTGGGGCCCCCGCTGGACCGCGGTGTCAGGACAGGGAGCCCGAGTCCATGGGGGGTGGGGCGGGTCCTGTCACACACTCTGTGTGGATGGCACTTCCCTTCTACTCACGAGCTGACTCCTGAAACGTCAGACAACACAGAGCAGCGGTGTGGGTCCCCGGTGACAGTCCAGTGGCCACCCCTGCCCTGCCCCCCGGTGCCTGCCATTCCCTCTCCCTGGACCCCACCACTGCTCGGCCCTCCCTGCCACAGCTCTGCTGAGAGGCCACTGACCCGTCAGAAAGTCCGCCGTTTAACGTGGACGCACAAGTGACTTGTAGTTTGTGGGCCGACCCTGCAGCCGTCCCCACGGGGCCCGGAGCCTTCCCAGCCCTGGGAGGCCCCGCACCCTCGGCTGTGCCCCTGCCGCTGCCCCCCTCGCCCTCCTCGCCGCAGAGACCTGTGTCTCTCCCCCCGCAGGACCGGGGACCGGTGCGTGCTCCACTTCAAGCCGTGCGGGCTGTTCGGGAAGGAGCTTCACAGAGTGGAGGGCTACATCCAGGACAAGAAGTAGGTTCGCTTAGGGAAATCTTGTGTCTCCTTTGTGTGTAGAAAAGTCATTCCGTGATCGGGCGTAACGGGAGATAAAAGACAGGTTTTCCATGTTGTTTCTGCACGTCGTTCTCTCTCGAGGGCGAAAGACGAAATGGGGTGTCGCCACGGAGCCGAGGCTGCGGCCTCACTCTGAGTGGAGACTTGAAATCGGGCGGGGTCCCCCCTCTCGCTTTACCTGCCGCCCGGAGCTGCCTCCAGAGCCTCGTGTCCTGGGGACGGTTCTTTCCAGTCTACGAATCGGGATTTTAAAGGCTTTGTGACCAGAGAAAGGGTCAAAGGCGTTTTAACAAATTTTCCGAGCTTTTTCCTCCCTTTGGGTTATTAGCCTTATGTTTTGGGTCTAAATCTTTTCCCCAAGTAATTTGGGCCATGTAACATCACAAGGCTCCTTCCAGCCCCCCAAATCTGCACGTGTCTGGTGAGAGACAAGCCTCTCTGTGACTTAGCAGGTCTCCTGCACGGTCCTGCTCTGCTGGGCCAGAGGCTGCCCCCCGGGCAGCCGGGAGAGCGCCCCACACTGCGGCTCTGCCCGCCCGGCCCCTTGAGATAAGTCAGGACTCTGTGCCAACCTCCCGGCCAGCATCCCGGCCCCGTCAGCAGCCCATCCCTGGAGGAGTCCCCTGGGGAGGGTCCCCAGGAAGGGGCCTCGCTCCTCCCGGAGCCGCAGGGACTGACTGGGAAGGGTCTGCAGAGGTTCGCTGCTGCCCGAGGAGGCGGGCGGGCAGCGGGGCCCTCGAATGGCGACGGAGGTAAGGCCCACTCCCTGCTCGGGGCCTGGTCCCGGGCTTCGGAGAGAGGGAGGGTGCGCGCAGCCCCGGGAGGCAGCAAGTCTCGGAGTGCCGAGTCTCTCTCCGACACACGGGCGTCTCTGACCCTCCCTGCGGCTCCTGACGCGGTCCAACCCCCTTCGTTCCAGCAAGAAGAAGCTGTTTGTCATCTACGGCAAGTGGACGGAGTGTCTGTGGGGCGTGGAGCCCGCGGCGTACGAGTCCTTCAGGAGGCAGGGGCGGCACAGCGAGCCCCTGGGAGCCACCCAGCCGGTAAGGTGCCGCCCGCCCGCCGGCCCTGCCCGGGCTCCCGCACTGCTGGGGACGGGTCCCAGGGGAGGGGACACACAGACTCGCCAGTCGGTGGCCTCTGTGTCCTGACAACAATGTCGGCCGCCCGGGTCCAGGCGAACCAGGGGCCCCTCTGTTCCCCAGGAAACGCCGAGCTGCGCACACCTGGGAGCCGACCCCCGTCTCCCGGCCCCTCGTGGGCGCAGACCCCTCCCGGAGCCAGCGAGGCCACTCCTGGTGTTGGTGGGGTGACGGGCAGTGGCCCCGCAGTGGCATGCTGTGCCAGGACGGCCACTCCCCAGGGCCTGTGGGCATCCGAGCCGGCAGCCGGAAGGGCTGGTTCGAACAGGTCCTGTTTTCTGGGTGACACACTGGGCCTTGGTGTGCGGGGTGGGCTCCTAGCCGGGTCCTCCGCCCGAGAACGGGAAGCTCGTGCTTCCTGGGGCACCGCCCCACACTGCTTCCTGCGTGTGGTCAGGCCTCTTGTGCAATGAGGCCTCGCCAGCAACAGGCCGAGTGTCCTGTGAAGACACACAGGCCGGCACAGCAGACCCCTTGGGGTCGCCACGATGTGTGTGCTCAGTGCCCTGTTGCTGGGCCACCTGGAGGTGACAGCGCCTCATCCCAGCTCAGCTCTGGGACCTGCCGTGTGACCGGCGGGCAGGGGTGGGCAGGGGTGGGCAGGGGCAGCCCTGCAGCTGCGTCGGTCACGCTGACACCAGGCCTCTTGCTTTTGAAAGGCAGCTGCAGGGCAGTGCCTTTGGGGGGAGGGGTGGTCTCCGGGAGGGTGTGGCCTACAGGTGCAGCCCCCTAGTCTAGACCGTGTCTGGGCTGGGGGAGCGAGGAGTGGGTCCCCCTCAGCTCGGACAGAGCCCCCTTCTGGACGGTGCCGCCAGCTGGTGGTGGTCAGACGCGGAAGCGCGTCCTTTCCCGGCTGCTTTCCCAGGAGAAGAGCGTGCCTGGCGCGGCCTCCGTGCCGTCCCGGGGGCCCCAGCGCGGGGGCTCTCCAAGGGGGCGAGCACACAGAAGAGGGAGCCCTGGACTATGGGGCAGGGGCCAGATGGGCAGCCGCGTGCCCTTCCCTGGTGGGCATCTCGCCTCGCTCAGGCTCAGCATCCTGTCCGGAAGGCGCTCCCGGGGCCGCCGCCCTCCCGCGCCTGACCCTGTGCTCTGCGTTCCAGGACAGGAGTGCTGAGCACGCTGACGGGGACGCAGGCGACTCGGGGGATGCCGTGCCTGAGGCTCCAGAGACTGTGCAGGTTGTTCCTGGCAGCAAGCTGCTGTGGAGGGTCAACAGCCGGCCCCCCAACTCCGCGCAGGTCTGGGAGCCCCTCCTCACCCTGCTCTCTGCCAGCCCTGCCCCCTAGAGCCTCCCAGGTCCCGCCCCCAGAGCCACACCCAGCTGCCCAGGGGCACAGGCAGTGCCTGGTCCACGCGGGTCCTGGGGACCCTTGGACACAGCCGACCCACACGTAGGCACACGAGTGTCCCTGCTCCGGTCTGCGGGCAGGGCCTGGAAGGCATGCGCCCAGCACCCTGGGGACAGGCTTGCAGAGACGCTGCCTCTGACTTGTCACTTTAGATGCCTTTTGGCATTTGTGTTTGGAAAACTTGCAATTTGTATCACACACAGTAACATATTGATAGTTCTATAGTACAGTGTAATAAATTGTACTTTTTCATGTTTTAAATTGTATGTTGTTGACATGCAGAACACAAATACAACATATAACTTTTCATGGCACCATCACGCCCTCTTACAATGCAGAGTGAGTGTAAAGTAAACAAGCCACTCACCCCGGAGATGCTGGGGGACAGCCCTGCAAGCTGGGCACCTAGAGAGGGGGCCCGGGGGACGAGGCCGGTGCGTCTCCGGCCAGGGACGGGCGTCTCCGGGCACAGGAGGCCGTGCCCAGGGGAGTGCACATGACGGCCCTCTGCCCGCAGATGTACAACTTCACCAGCTTCACCGTGACCCTCAACGAGCTGCAGCCGGGCATGGAGAGGACGCTGGCGCCCACCGACTGCCGCCTGCGCCCCGACATCCGGAGCATGGAGAACGGTGACATGGGTGCGTGCCTGTGTAGGGGGGAGGGGCGGGACCCCACCTGGGCCCTGCGGACACCGTCGTGGCAGGGGCACGGCCCAGAGCTCCCCACGTGCCCGTGGCTGGTGGGGTGCCGGGACCGAGGGCCCTTGATGCCGGAGGCCTGGCACGTGGGTGCGGTTCCCTGGTGGCTGCGCACTGTCCCCCCGGTGAGGGCGGCTCCTTACCCAGACCATGTGCTTGGCTCAGACCTGGCGAGCCAGGAGAAAGAGAGGCTGGAGGAGAAGCAGAGGGAGGCCCGGCGGGAGCGCGACAAGGGGGACACCGAGTGGCAGACGAGGTGAGGCCGGGCCGTGGGGCGTGGGGACAGGGAGGAGGACCCCCCACACACACACCTGGGGCTGAGCAGAGCCCTCCCTGCCTGTGTTGCGATGGCGGCGGCAGCCCCGAGCCCAGCGCTGTGCCCACCAGGCAGGTGGACCAAGGCCCGGAGCCCCCCGCCCTGTGTATTCGGCCCTGAGCACTTTCTCAAATGTGGCAGATTTACAGAGAAAACATGGCCAGAATGTTCCCCCCACTGTCCCCACCCCCCTGCTCCCTGTGGCCACCAGGTGGCAGCAGCTCTCTCACAGGGTCGGCTCCCCCAAGGGCTGCCAGGTGTCACCGTGATTTCAGAGTCAGGGTCTCAGAGATCCCCAGGGGAGCCAGCGGCTCCTCAGGGTGCAGCTCCTGCCGCTGTGTCCAGGGCCTGGCACGGTCCCCTGGTGGCTGCCACGTGGGTGTCGTGCTCAAAACCAGCCTCCAGCGGTTGGGCCTCCAATTTTGTTCAGTATTTTACTCTCAATAGTTTGGTGTGTGGAGTTTGCTCTGTCTCAGAAGAGACAGGTTCAAACTAGTTAACATCCCTTCACTGTTTCTTAAGCGATTAAAAAACACCGTGCAAACATTGGTGTTTGTCCTGAGAAGACAACCACTCCCACCTGTGGGTCCCCACACCCGCCTCCAGCACACTGCGGACGTCCCCAGCTGTCCCCACAGCATAAGCAGATAGGGGAGGGGCAGGTGGCCATTGTGCTGGGGACTGGGGACCCTGACCCCGCCCCTCCCCAGGCCACAGCCTGCATTGCCTCACCTGCGGAGGCACGGGCGGGCCCCTCGGGGCTCAGGCCCCTCTGGCAGCGGGCCAGCCCGCTGGTTGGCTGCGAAGTTCCTGAGGTTTCAGCCAGGAACTGCGGCGTGAACCAGGACTGTGTCCTCGCTGAGCGGCCGCCGCCCCTGACCCGCACCCTGTGTTGCAGGTGGTTCCGCCCGGGCAGGAACCCGCACACGGGGGCCCCCGACTGGCTGTACGCGGGCGGCTACTTCGACCGGGACTTCTCTGGCTGCCCAGACATCTACTGAGGACCAGGGGTGCCCAGGGCCCAGACGGCTGCCGGGCCGCGCTCTGCCCGCGGCTCCTCCACACTCCGGTCCGCAGAGCTGGCCTTTCTCAGGATCGTGTTCGGGGAGAGGGGCGGCCCTGGCCAAGCGCTTGACCCCAGTCACCTCCGGTTGCCAAACAGCGGCACTGGCGCGGCCCCTTCATAAAGCTTCCCGTGGGGGCGCCGTGTTTTCATCGAGGTCTGAGAAGAAGGTCCTTCAGCCCCCTCCGGTGACAGAGTCCGTGGGGCGCAGTGGCCAGCAGCGCCCCTGGTGGGCCTGTCTCGAGAGGAAGGAGCAGGAAGGGGCCGGGTGCGTCCGGGAGGCAGTGTCTGCAGTGTCCGGGACCCCTGCCGGCAGGGCGCCCACTGAGCTTCCGTGCTGCCAGGGTGAGCCTCTCGGGTGTCAGAGCAGGGAAGTGAGTAGCTGTCAGATTCGTATTTTCCACCAGTCTTCAGTAACGTAAACACGACTTTTAAATACTTAGTTAAAAGTACTCAACTAGGATCTGCTGAAGGCAAGACATGCATTAGTCACCGTCTGTGTACGTCTGTCTACAAGGAGGCACCTCCACGGCAACCCCAGATCACGGCCTCGGCCGCTCCTCCCATCGCCAGGGCCCCTCGTCCTGAGGGCCACGCCTGAGTCGCTGAGCGGGGGCCATCTGAGCACGCGTGGCTTGTGCCCACAGCACTGTGTCCTGGTTTTCCAGCCTGTGTGTCTGACACGGGCACAGGCGGGTCCCCGTCCTGGGCACTGGGGGTCGGGGCAGAGGCTCCATCCGGGTGGGCGAGGCTCCACGCTCGCGCCTGTCGGCCTGGTCACCGCCCCGCACTCCAGCGGGAGACAGTCTGCTGTGTGTGGTGCACGGGCACACATGAGCTCAGAGGCACACGCAGCACACACATGTACACCTGCATGTGTGACCTCAAACGCGCACATGCACAGGGATCCCACGTGTGTGAGCACACATGTACAGCACGTGCGCACACGGTGCAGTCACGTGCCCTGTGCATGTGCACACACATCCCCACACGCAGAGGTGAGAGTGGAAGGCTCCATCGGAGAGGGTGTCGCCGTGGTGTCCGGCTTCAAATCACAGCTGTGATTAAAACACGATTGGCAGCAAAGATCCGCTCTGAAGGCGTGACTGTGTCACCTCAGCTACTGGCGGCCACCGGGCTGCCACAGAGCCCTGAACAAGGCCACGTGGCTGTCGATTCACTGCCCATTTTCCCGGGAGCCCTGGGCATCACCTGCAGTGAACGGGCCGCCCAGGGTGGGGACGGCGGCTGCCTCCGGGTGGCTGGGCCAGCACAGCTCTGCCCCAGAGTGCCGCGGCCCGAGGAGGGGTCAGGTCGGGGGTCCCCAGCCCCTTGGGCTTCCCGCCTGGGTGCTGTCCTGCAGAGAGGTCACAGAGAAGCAGGTCCTGGCCCCCGCAGGCACCCCAGCCATTTGGCCACCCAGGACTGCTTGTCTCAGTGTCCGCTTCTGGGAACACGTGCGCTCTGAGGGGACGTGCAGGGTGAGACCGGGCCGTCACAGCCCCCACCATGGAATGGAAGTGGCCCAGGCAGGGCCCCATGGTTGTCCTGGCCATGTCTGTCCCCCACTCAGACTGTCCCCAAGGATCGGCTGCTTGTGCTTGAGGAAGGGTGAGCCTGAGGTGGGCCACACTCGTGGCCTGGTCTGACCCCAGCCGGTGCTGGAGATGGCCTGGCACAGCCTGGGGGCCATCCTGCCGGGGAGGCATTTACTGAGCACACGGGGCCCTCACCGGGTTGCAGGGTCAGAAGCTCAGAAACTGCCGGGTGGTGCCCTACAGCCCCCGTCTGGGAGCAGTCTCCACGCGGCGGCAGCAGCGGCGGCGGGCCCACAGGCCCCACAGGCGTTCCTGCGGGTGCAGGATGGTGAGACGGGGTCGCCCTTGGGGCTGCCCCCCAGGCCCAGCCCTCGGGGTTGTGTCCTGCGTGGACGGCTGCCCCAGTGGGGTCGGGGGTCTCCTCGTGCTGGTTTCTGCGCTCCCAATGCTTGGACTCTCAGACGTCCTCCTGGAGATGCTGCCCTGTGCCCAGAGGGTGCCCGGTGGGGCCAGGCCTGCTGTGCAGTGCCCCCCACAGCGCACTCCCCCACCACACGTCCCTCACGCCCTTGGCGGGCGGGCCCTGCACAGTGATGGCTGCACAGGTGACAGTGGTCAGCACCCATCCGTCCGCACACTCAGAGCCGACCCTCAAGGTTTCGGAGGACTGCAGGCCCCAGATGATCGGGGTTGAACCAGCTCCCGGTGAAGGCCCTGCGGGGAAGGTGGGGGCGGTGGCGGCGGACATCTGCCCTGGGCAGCTCTCACTGTCCCAGCTGCTCCGGCCTCTCGGGACGGGCGTCCACGGTCAGGGAGGGATGTGTGTTCTGCAGGGTTGGCCTCGTGGATGGATGGGGGGTCTGGGCTGTCCGAGCACCAGGAGCCTCGCTGGACAGAGTCCCTTCTCTCCAGGACCGGGCCCGGGGCTGGAGGCAGCATGGCACCCAGAACCTGCTGGTGGGGCCAGAGGGTCCCCGCGGTCCGGCCCCCACTTGGTGCTGGCAGCTGGGTGCTTCCCAAGGAGGTGAGCTGGGTGGGATGCTCATCCCGACAGCCAAGAGGCTCTGGGAAGGGGACAGAGTCCCAGGTCTGAGCGTGCTCGGAGGGCTCGGCCTCCTGTGTGGCTGCCGCCGCCGGGAGCTGCCGGTGCGCACACGGAGACTGCAGAGCCCTGGTGGCGGCGGTGGCAGCAGGGGCCGAGGGCCCCAGGCAGTGGGGCGTGCCGCGTGTGCAGCCGGCAGTTCACAGGCTCTGCTGCCGCCCCCGGACCAACGCCTGGCGCCGGGGAAGCCGGCCTCCCAGGGGCAGAGCCCACGCCCAACACAAAACCGGTTGCAATCATGCACGGAGCGTGGGGCCTAGAACTGACCCACTCTCGGGAGAAGACACAGGACGCGAGCCTCACAACACTGGGCGTGGCAGTGACTTCTGGGATTTGTCACCAAGGGCCTGGGGCCTGGCAACACCAGCATGAAGAGCCAGCCCACGGACTGGGAGCAGGTATTTGGAAACCACACATGTGGCAGCAGTTTGACACCCGGATGTAGAGAATTCCTAACACCCAACGACATGAACTCAGGCAGACACGACGGGCCCCCTCCCACACCCACGCTGCGATGACAACAGAGTTGCAGGGAGGCTGACGACTGCGAAGTGGAGAAGCCACGCCTGTCCAGATCGGCAGGACCGGCACGGACCGGAGTGAGCTGGTCGCTCAGCCACGTGGGGGGTGAAAAGGTGGGAGGACATCTCGGGAGCGAGGAGTCCCAGCCCCACACCAGGTCCCCCAGCCCAGGGTCCCAGTGCCAGGAAGAGAAGTCCCCACAGCTCTGGCTGTGAAAACCAGTGGGGATCAAGTCTGTGGAGGAAACTTCTGGAGCTCCCAGCAGTTCCTCTTCAAGAGCCCACACACGGCCTCACTCAGACTCACTTCCTCTGGGCTCCAGCGCCGGGGTGGCAGTTGGAAAGGCACGTGGTGTGCAGGGGGAGGCTGAGGGGCCGGCATTGGGGCCCACAGGGGCCATTGTCCCTCTTCTGAACCTGCTCACACCACAGAGCTGGCAGGCTGGTGCCACATCTGAGACCCCATCAACCTGGCTAACACTGGCCTGCCTCGGAGACCCCCAAAGACTCTGCTGCACCCAGGTACTGGGCCCACCCACGCTGTTAACAGAGACCTCTCCACGTGAATGGCTGGTCTTGGCTCACGCTTCACAGCTTCCTAAATCCTCTCTCACAGGCGGCAGCCGGCCTCAGCGAGCCCCGGGCCGGGCACTAGCAGCAGCCGGCCTAGATTCACAGCTTGGCTTCACCTGGGAATCTCCAAGCCCAGCACAAGCAGCAGCTGTCTCAGATTGCTTTACAGCTCAGGCAGGGTGGCCCCGGGCAAAACAGGTGGGGGCTGACCTTGGCCTGCACCACCCAGGAAACCCCAGGGCCAGCACACCCAGGGGACAGCTACAGACCACCCTGGAGCACCACCACCCCGCCCCTGCACAGCTGATCCTTCATGGAGGGTGGAGGTTGGTGGTCGGTGGTCACGGCCAGCCCTTGTAGCCGACTGGCCTGGGTAAGTCCCAACCATTGACCTGCCAACAGCAACCAAGGCTCAACTACAAGAGGAGGGTGCGTGCAGCCCACGTGAAGGGTGCACCTCGAGTGCCCAGCTCGGGTGACAGGGGAGGCTGTGCCACTGGACCCTACAGGACACCCACTGCATTAGGCCACACTACCAAGACACAGAGTCAAAGCAGCTCTACCTAATACATAGAAAAAACAAACACAGGGAGGCTGCCAAAACAGGGAGACAAACACGGCCCAGATAACAGATCAAAACTCCAGGAAGAGAGCTAAATGAAATGAAGGCCAACTACCAGATGCAGAGTTCAACACACTGGTTATCAGGATGCTGCACAACCCAGCGAGGACCTCGGCAGCGTGAAAACCCCCAGGCAGAAACAAGGGCCAGAACTAAAACGACAACTTACAGGGAGACAACAGCAGAGAACCAAACTGACGATATGGAACACAAGGAAGCAAAAAAAAAAAAAAAAAAAACCAATCAGAAGAAGAAAGAAGAATCCAAAACAAAACAAAACGAGGGTAGTGTAAGGAGCCTCTGGGACGAAAACTTCCCTAAGTTGGTGAAGGAAACAGACATACAAGCCCAGGAAGCCCAGAGGGCCCCGAACAAGTGGGACCCAACGAGGCCCGCTCCAAGACACATCACAATTAATATGCCAAAGGTTAAAGAGGAGAGAATCTTCAAAGCAGCAAGAGAAAAGGAGACAGTTACGTACACAGGAGTTCCCATCAGACTACCAGCTGACTTCTCAAAAGAAACCTCACAGGCAAGAAGGGGTGGAAAGAAATATTCCAAGTCACAAAAACAGGGACCGACACCCAAGATTGTTCTACCCAGCAAAGCTATCATTTGGAATCGAAGGGCAGATAAAGTGCTTCCCAGACAAAAAACCAAAGGAGTTCATCATCACCAAACCTTTATTACATGAAATGTTAAAGGGACTTATGTAAGAAAAAAGATCAAAACTATGAACAATAAAAAGGCAAAAACATACATATGTATCAACAATTCAATCTAAGAAACTAGGCAGACAAGCAGAACAGGCAGAATCATGGGTGTGGAGAGTGTTTTGACGGCTGGCCGATGGGGGGCGGTGTCGGGGAGAAGAGGGGAAGAGGTGAGGGGATTAGGAAATACGGTCACAGAGCAGCCACGGGGACGGAGAGTGCAGCACAGGACATGCAGCAGCCCGAGAAGGCAGACGCTGACCCATGGACCTGACCACGGCGGGGGGGGGGGGGTGCTGGGTGGAAGGGAGCAAAGGGGGAGAGATCAGGACAACTGTAATAGCGCAATCAATAAAATCTAGTTTTAAAAAATATTACAAGAAAAACCCCTGACTCAGCAGCGGGCAAGGGGCTGGAGGAGACGCCTCCTTTCGCCGAGGAAGGCGCACACACGGTTGATGGGCAGGTGGAGCGATGCTCGGCCTTACTAATCAGCAGGGACGTGAGCCTCGAGGCCACAGCGAGCCCCGGCCTGCGCGGCCCAGTGGGTTGGACGTTGTCCAGCAAACCAAAAAGGCCCCTGGCTCTACCTGGGTCAGGGCACAGGCCCAGGTTGCAGGCCAGGTCCCCAGTGTGGGGCTGTGTGAGAGGCAACTGATTGACTTCCCCTTCCTTTCCCTCTCAAATAAAATAAATTGGAAACAACAACCGTACAGAGCCCTGGCCGGTGTGGCTCAGTGGATTGAGCGCGGCCCTGCAAACTAAGGGATCGAAGTTCGATTCCCAGTCAGGGCACATGCCTGGGTTGCAGGCCGGTTCCCAGTGGGGATCACATGAAGAGGCAACCACACATTGATGTTTCTCTCCCTCTCTCCTTCCCTTCCCCTCGAAAGATAAATAAATAAAATATTTTAAAAAACCCAACAACCGGACAACAGGATAACCACCTCTCGCCCATGAGGAAGGCTGCTATCTAAAAAACAAAAACGACCCCCCCCCCCCCAGGAAATAACAAGCACCGGGGAGGTGGAGAAGCCGGAGCCCTTGGGCACTGTTGGAAATGCAGACTGGTGCAGCCGCCGCGGAAAGGTCTGGAGTCCTCAAAAAATTAAAACTGGAACTGCCCGGGGACCCAGAGACCTCACTTCTAGGTACACACCCTAAAGTGTTGTAATGCGGGTCAGGGAGCGAGACCCCGACCCCACGTCCACGGCCCCTCCAACCTGCGAGCGGCCCGAGCGCGCAGACAGGTGAATGGGGACCAGCACCCACTCCCGGGGCCTTCGTCGTTTTGCTGATCCCCGCCCCCCCCCCCCACATGCCCCTCTCCCAGAGCTCAAGGGCACCCACGGCAGCCTGGGGACTGCAGGGGAGGGTGTGGTGGGAGGTGGGAGAGGGTACAAAGGGGATAAATGGTAATAGAAAAAAAATACACCATTAAAAAATAAAAACAAAGAGAAACCATCTCCACATTTAAACCGAGTCATTCAGCCTCAAAAAGGGAAGGAAGTCCTGCCCTGGCTCTGGCTCATTTGGTGGATCGTGGACTCACAGCCACAAAGGCTGCGGGTGCGATGCCTGGGCCAGTAGGGGAGGCTTCTGCCTGGCATCTGGTTTTTCTCTCCCCCCACTAAAAGCAATGAAAATATGTCTTCCGGTGAGGATTACAAAAAAACCCCAAAGCCAAGGAAGGAAACCCTGACCCCGCCACAAGCTCGAGGACATTATCCTCAGTGACATAAAGGACACGTACTGTGTGTGGGTTTCATCTGCGATATTTACCACATTAGAACTTTAAGTGAAGAAATACAAGCATACTGATCGGAAAGCGCGAACCCATTCCCTTAGGAACTGGGGTGGCGTGTCCGACGAGGAGCAGCTCCGTTTCGGGAAAGGAAACAGGTTGTGACTCCAGATCCCGCGGCAGAGCCGGGAAGTGGAGTGGGCGTCGTGGGAACAACAGGGAATAGCAGCCCTTTTCGCTCCCCGGCTCGTTATAAAAACACGCGATGTACACACACAGCCGCCCCGCTCAGCGCTCGGGGGGGGGGCACGGACGGGCGCCCACGGGGCCGGCCGGGCAGCGCAGGGCGCGCCTTCCACTCCTGGGACGGTCCGACCCGCCTCCCGGACGACGGCGGCCGCCAGTCAGTTCCGACCCCACGCCGGCCGCTGGGGACTCCAGCTGCCCGCAGGGACCGAGGGGAGACGGCCTGTCAGTGCGGTCGTCGGGTGCTGTGGAGGCCCCGCAGTGGGGACCGCGCGCTCCCACCAGGCCTCGCTGGTCCGACGGGCGCCGCGGGCCATGCACCGAGTGCGGGAGTGCGGTTCACTCACTTCCCGGAGAACGCGAAGCCGGACCCCGAGTCCTAAGATACCCCCTCCGCTGACCCCGTGACTATACCCCCTACATCTCGGGACCTGGCGCCCTCCACCGATCGTGACCCTGGAAGACGCCGCCTCGCGCCTCGCGCCCCGCAGGGCCCCCCCGCCCTTTCCGGGCGGCCCCGGGGGTCCACCGCCCCCAGGGCGACCCCCTCCCGACCCGCCATCCCTAGGCGCTGCCGCCAGGGGCCGCCGCCGCGCCCCTATGACACAGCAACAATAGGAGCCGCTCTGGCCCGCGCTTCGCTGGCCACGCTTCCGCCGGAAGGGGCCGGGTCCGGGGGATGGACGGCGAACCTCGCCAATCGCTCGCGAGACAATGCAAGGCCTAGCCTCAGCCAGAGACCAATCGGCGGCGACAGCTGCGGGCGGGGCGGGGCGAGCGGGGGCTTCCGGCGGGGCCCGGCAGGCGCCGAGGAGGAAGAGCGAACCCAGACGGTACCTCTCGGCTGAGTCTTCGTGCGGGCCAGGTGAGAGGGGTGGCGGGGGACCGGGGCCGCTGGGAGCGGGGCCTGCGCCGTCGGAAACCCGGACCCGGGCGCGGGGTCTGCGGAGGTCGGAGGGGCCGGGGGCGTGGAGCAGAGGGGCTCGGGGGTCTGGGAGCCGGAGTCCGTGAGTGGGCCGGCGCTCTCGGAGGTTGGGAGGCCTTTGGGGGGGCGGCCTGCGCGGGGCGAGGACTTTCCGGACCAGGGAGCGGGGAGGCGGCTCTTGGGCCATCCCGGGCTGCCGCCCTTCTGCAAGTCGCCCCGGCCCCTCCGCCCAGCGTGGAGGCGAGGCCGTCGGGCTGTCAGGGGTGCGGGGTGGGGGCGGGACGTGCAACGGGTTTCCCCGGAGTGCTCACTGTTTTTGAAGGGAGCGCCCTGCAGCTCCACGGGCGTGGGGCCAAAGTCTTGTGTCCCATCTGACGAGTTAGCGGTGTCCCCGCCCAGCCCAAGCTTTTAAATTCTTGGGGCCCCAGCAGAAGAAACAAGTTTTCGAGAAAGAGCGGCCGCGGGCAGCGAGACCGCGTAGATACAGAAGTTGATTTCGTTCTTTGAGAAACGTGAGAAGCTGCGGGTTGGCTCCGTGGCTCAGGTGCCCGGAGGCTCTGCCCCCCCACCTCCGGCCAGGTGCTTTGAGCGGGTGTGGGGCAGCTTTCGGTGCTCCCTTGGGCCCAGCGGAGGCTCAGCGGGGGGCGCCGTCCCTGGGTCGGGGCCTGCGCAGCGCTTGAGTAGCAAGTCAGGACTTCCGTGAGTGACGGGGTCTGCTTGCTGGTCCCCTTTCCAGGATGACGACTTCAGGCGCTCTGTTTCCCAGCCTGGTGCCAGGCTCCCGTGGGTCCTCCAACAAGTATTTGGTGGAGTTCCGGGCAGGAAAAATGTCACTGAAAGGAACTACCGTCACCCCAGATAAAAGGAAAGGGCTCGTGTACATCCAGCAGACGGACGACTCCCTCATTCACTTCTGCTGGAAGGACAGGACGTCTGGGAACGTGGAAGACGTGAGTGTGGGCGCCTTGCTGCCTGCAGAGGCCCCACCTGGCCCCCTGGGGAGCTGATGTCCTTCCCTGTCCAGGGTCAGCGACGGGGTTTCTGCTCGGAGGGCCTTGAAGTGTGGGTGGGGGGGTTGCTGCTTTCAGGATCTGCTCTGCTTCTGGGTCCTCCCAGTGCCAGAGACCAGCTATATTTCCCCGTCACAGGGTGTGCTTCAGACTCAGGGTTAGATGCTTTTGAACTGGAGAGGCCGAGGGCCAGCCTGACCTGCAGTCCAGGCCGCTGACTGGGTGCTCCTCACTCTCCAGGCTAAGGTGCCCTGGGTCAGGTTCAAGATCAGGTCTGAGTTGACTTTTTGACTCACCTTGGAATGTTGTTCCCAGAATGCCTCTATTAACAAACTCTTTCGGGAGTTGAGAATCTCACCCTGGCTGGTGTGGCTCCGTGGATTGGGCAAACGAAAGTGTAAATTAAATCCGGCCTGCAAACCAGAGTGTCGCCAGATCAATTCCCAGTCGGGGCACAGGCCTGGGTTGCAGCCAGGTCCCCAGCAGGGGGCGCAGGAGAGGTGATCATACATGGATGTTTCTCTCCCTCCTTCTCTCAAAATAAATAAATAAAATCTTTAAAAAACAAGTTGAAAGTTCCCTTTCCCTGTTGGGTGCTGGGCCTGCCCCTGGCCCTCTCTCCCTTTGCAGGGGCCTTGGACCCCGGCTCGTCTGCCCTGCAGGGACCCTGCTGGTGAGGAGCTGGGTCCTGTGCCCTCTCCCCACACAGTGCGCACCCCAAGACACAGGGCCCGGCTCGCCCCCGGGAGGTTCTGGGGTTCGAGGACATGTGTGGGAGACGCTGACACCCCGTCCCCGCGGCCTCTGCAGGACCTGATCATCTTCCCGGACGACTGTGAGTTCAAGCGCGTCCCACAGTGCCCCAGTGGGCGAGTCTACGTGCTCAAGTTCAAGGCAGGGTCCAAACGGCTCTTCTTCTGGATGCAGGTGCGTGGGAGCTTTTGTTTGCATTTGTCTTTTCTCACCGTCACAAGAGGAGGTGAGAGCCCTGCTCAGCGGGTGGTGGACCTGGCCTTCCCAACCAGCCGGGGCTGACCGACCGTGCTTCCCTGCCACCTCCGAGGTCCCGGGGTGGCCTTCTGTGGGGGGCGGGGGGCTGCTTCCTGAGCCAGGCACCTGCGACTGGGCCCTGAGGGCCTCTCTGAGTGTGGAGCTCCCTGGCAGACAGGCACCGGTTCTCGGGCTGGGCCCCTCTTTAGTCTGCTGGTCTCCCAGTTCCCCGAGGGTCACGAGGACCCCAGGGCAGAGGTGCGGTGACAGTGTGTGGTGTCTGCGCTGCGTGTCGGGCAGAGGTGCAGGCTCCTTTCCAGGGCCATGCCAAGGTGTCCTGCACCCACGGTGGCAGGCCATCTTCTGTCCGGGCGAGCTGCTGCTGTTTCCTCTGCCAGCCGGGGCTGTCGGCCGGTTGCAGTCCCCTGTGTCACGGGGCTGTCTCTGGTCGTGTACACATGTGTGTGCAGTGGGCACATTTGGTTGTGTGGTTGTGGCTGGTGTTCCGTGCTCACCCCCAGGGCTGAGCCTGCCCCTCCCCAGTACCTTCTGGAGCCGGCAGGAAAGGTTTTTCTGGTGGGGGCCCCACTGCTGGCCTGTGCCGAGACGGTGGGAGCGCGGCCCCGATCTGGTCAGACTGTGTGGACTCGGGGCGCGGGGTTCGCAGCTGCTGGGGTAGAGCTGGTTTCTCCAGTTTCTCCGAGAAATCTCGCCAGATGTTCCCCACACACTGGCCTTGCTGACTGTCCCGGTGTCGCTCCTGTGCTGGCATCCCTCCCACTGCCCGCCTGCTGCGTCTCTGTGTCCCCAGCACGTGCTCAGGGGCTGCTGGACAGGAGGCCTGGCCGCTGACGGGGCGACCCTGCCCCATGAGCCCGCTCAGCCCAGGGGCTGCAGGCGGGGCCAGAACTGAGGTCACTGCATGGAAGGCACCCGCCGAAGGGGGGGCTGTGGTCGACCCCAGCTGTGCGGGGCAGGGCCTTGCCCTGGCATGGAGTGTGCTCCTAGTATAAACTAAGAACGTGTAGTCCGTGTGTCCGGGTGTAGAATGTGTGTCCGTCGTGTGGGACCACTGCCCCGGTGGGCGGCCCGCTCAGCCACAGCGGCGTCCTGTTCTCCCGCAGGAGCCCAAGACAGACCAGGACGAGGAGCACTGCCGGAAGGTGAACGAGTGCCTGAACAACCCGCCCATGCCCGGCGCGCTGGGGGCCGGTGGGGCCGGCGGCCACGAGCTGTCCGCACTGGGCGGCGAGGGCGGCCTGCAGAGCCTGCTGGGGAGCATGAGCCACAGCCAGCTCATGCAGCTCATCGGACCCGCCGGCCTTGGAGGACTGGGTACGCCCGTGGGGCTGTGGCCTCGCTCCTGGTCGGGACAGAGCTGGGGAGCAGTTTTTGTGCTAGTTTCCTTTAAGCGTCTGGCCCCAAGGGGTGTCCGTGTGTGTGTGTGTGTGTGTGCGTGCGCGTGTGCGTGTGCGCGCGCGCGCGCCGGCACTGCTCTTCTGGAAGGGGTCCTGTGAGCGGGGGTGGGGCGGGGGGTGGGCGAGGCACCGGGGCGCTTCCCGCTGTGTGCCTCGGGCGCAGCTGGCTGAGGAGGGGCCTGAGGACGTCCTTCGGGGCTCCTGCCTAGAGCCTGGGCTCCCTCTGCCCTGCTTGCTGCCACTGGGGGTTTTGGTGGCCCCTTGGTGCTGAATTTGCACTGCGGTTACACTGACCCCGAGCGTGGTGGACGGAATGGGCCTGCAGAACACTACCGTCTGAGTAGCCGCTGCCCGGGCTCTCTGGTCACCTCCCTGTGCTTGTCCCGCAGCTTCGTGCCGGCCTCCCTGCACCGTTGGTGGGGGCGTGGGGGTTGGGCTCTCCAGTGGGTGTGACAGCTGAGCCCGCGTCCTTGCTCTTTGCAGGTGGGCTGGGCGCCCTGACGGGGCCGGGCCTGGCCAGCTTACTGGGGAGTGGAGGGCCTCCAGCCAGCAGCTCTTCCTCCAGGTGAGCCCCTAGCCTCACCCCCATTGCGCCCATGGGTGCCGCCAGGAGCTCCCTCCTCAGGGAGACTGGGAGTAGGAGATGTGGGACGGAACAGGTGTCGGGGAGGTCCTTTCACAGTCCCGGGGCTTCCCGGACGCCGGCACCACAAAGGCCTTCGGGGTGAGGCCGGCGGTTGTGGGGCCCATGTGGGCACCTGGCGGCTGCAGCTGCCCTGCTCTCCCCAGCTCCCGGAGCCAGTCGGCAGCGGTCACCCCGTCCTCCACCACCTCTTCCGCCCGTGCCACCCCAGCCCCTTCTGCTCCAGCAGCCGCCTCGGCGACCAGCCCGAGCCCCGCCCCCAGTTCAGGGAACGGAGCCAGCACGGCAGCCAGCCCGACGCAGCCCATCCAGCTGAGTGACCTCCAGAGCATCCTAGCCACTATGAACGTGCCGGCCGGGCCAGGAGGCGGCCAGCAAGGTAACCCACCCGTGGTTCTCGGCCCCAGGGGCGGAGGGCCTGCTGCCCACACCTGCCCTGGCCGGCTTTCCAGGGCTGGCCCAGCAGGTCCCCTGGCCGGCTGCCCTCTGCAGTGTGCTTCCTCCGCGGGTCTCTTCTGAGCGTGGCGTGTCCTCCTGATGGGCACCGGGCCCGCCTCTGGCCCCTGATGTCCGTGTGCTCGTCCCGTAGTGGACTTGGCCAGTGTCCTGACGCCTGAGATCATGGCACCGATCCTTGCCAACGCGGACGTCCAGGAGCGCCTGCTGCCCTACCTGCCCTCCGGGGAGTCGCTGCCCCAGACCGCAGAGGAGATCCAGAACACGCTGACCTCCCCCCAGTTCCAGCAGGTGCCTCGGCGGGTGGCCTGCGCCTCTGCCGCGCACGTTTGGGTCCTGCCCAAGTGGGTGCCCCCCCGCCCCCCCGCCCCCAGGCTTGCTCAGAGGTGTCGGCCTTTCCTTGCAGGCCCTGGGCATGTTCAGTGCGGCCTTGGCCTCGGGGCAGCTGGGTCCCCTCATGTGCCAGTTTGGCCTGCCTGCGGAGGCTGTGGAGGCTGCCAACAAGGGTGGTAAGTGCCAGTCCCCACCCGTGGGTGGGAACCAGAGCCTCCCCGTGTGCGTGGCACGGGCCGGCTGCCCTCACGCCTTTGCCGCTTTGCAGATGTGGAAGCGTTTGCCAAAGCGATGCAGAGCAGTGCCAGGCCGGAGCAGGAGGGCGACGGGAAGGACAAGAAGGACGAGGAGGAGGACATGAGCTTAGACTAAGTTATTTGCTGTCTTTTACGGGGTGGGGTGCTCGGCTGTGCGAGGGGGCCGTGCCTGCGCCCACTGCGGCCCCCACGGCTCCGCCCCGACGTGCTGATAAATAAAGGTCTTGTCTTTTATCCGACAACTCTCGTCTCCTGTGCCTGGGGCCTGGCGCGGTGGCCCGTCCCCTTGCTGGCCGGACGGGAGCTGGTGCTTCGGCGTGAAAGGCCTGGGGAGGCCGTCCCCCCTGTGGCCCCGTGACGGGCTGTCAGACTCTCTCTTTATACATCTAAGGTCAGCCTGCGGTCGGTTACGTAATTCCTTTCTAGATTGTGTTTTAAGAAAAGGGACCAGTGATTTACTGACTTCTCAAACTATTAAAAATTGGTGGGAGGAAAATCTCACAATTATAAGCAAAGGTCAAAAGTATAAAAACCCAATTTTATTGTATTTCCCCCTCATTTAAAAAGTCAGACATAACTTAAACAGTTCCTGGAAACGAGGCTGCCCGCCGAGTGCAGACAAACCCACGTGAACTTCATCTGTGAGACTGGCCGAGGGTGGCCCGGTCAGCTGGCTGTTTGCGGGGGCGGGCTTTCCGGGGAACGGTGCCCCGCCTGCTTGGGCAGCCGCTGGCCCCCACTGCGCCCTGGACGCCCACAGAGCTCGGCAGGGTGACTGGGGACCCGTTCACGGTCAGGCTCCTCATGCAGCCCTGGAAGCCTGGAGGCCACGGGCGCGGCAGAGAGGGGCGCCCGTCCCGTGTGTCCTCCAGTTCTGGGTGGGGGGAGACAGGGATACGGGTTGGTGCACGGCCTGGTTTCCAGCGGGGGCCCTGCCATGGGAGGGTAGGGGGAGTGCGGGGCGACCCCCTCCCCGGATAAGGCCACACTCACTGGGCAGGCCGCCGAGGTACAGGGGCACAGGGGTGCGCTCCGAGGCCTCCAGCACGGGGCCCAGGGTCCGGCTGCTCTGGGCGTCCACCTCCAGCCACAAGGTGCTCCCGCCTTTGGTCACTGCGGGCACAGGCTCCCTGAGGTGGGGCTGGGAGGGCCCTTGCCAGCCACAGGGCCCGGGCTCTGCCACGTTGGCCTCTGCAGGCCTGTCCCCCCAAGTCCCTGCCAGGCTCAGGAGTGTCTCCTGTCACGGGAGGGGTCCCAGCTCACCTGCCAGCTGGTGCCACTGCCCATCACACAGTGCCCCGGAGAGCCTCACGGCTGTGGAAAACACGCCTGCTCCGTCGTCCGCCCACAGCAGCACCTGGGGTCGGGGCAGCAGTCAGGACGGCCCTGCCGACCCCAGTGCTGCCCCTTGGTCGCAGCCCCCACCAGCTTACCTGCTTCCCCAGCAGCTGCACCTGGAGGTAGGGGGGCGCCTGGAGCCGGCCCAGGTGGAAGAGGAGGCCCGTGGCTGTCTGGGGCCGCACCTCCAGCCGCAGGCTCACGTTAGGCAGGGTGGCCCCCAGGGTGTCTGCAGGGAGGGGCTGTGAGCAGCAGTGGAAACGACCCCAGGCCCCTTCCTCCCCGGCCATGGCTCCCACCCCACCCAGCCGGGGGACATGCTCGCACTGAGTGGGGCCAGCAGACAGACCTAGAGTTAGGGCTCCCCTGCTTCCAGCAAAGAAGAGGCCCCGCTCCAGGGGTTCTGAGACACAGGGCGTGACCCCCACCATCCTGTGGGGGGTCCTCAGGAGCCGCCCGTCCAGTGCCAGCCTCTTCACACAGCCGCTGAACCGGGAGCTGCTCACAGCCGCCTGGGGGGCATGGCACAGCTGGGGTCAGGTCCCGGGGCTGCTGGGGAGGGGGGACTGGCCTAGCGGGGCTGGGGGCTGGGTGGGGAGGCTGGGCCGGGACGGCTCTCGCCGGGACGGCTCTCACCGGGAGCCTGTGGCTGTGCTGGTTGCCAAGAGGAAGACCCCCCACAAAGAGGGTGTGGGGCTGGGGGGCCTCGGCCCCCTGGTGCTGCCTGCCAATCTCCTCCTGGCTCTGGGCCCAGACCCCGTTTACCCCCAGCTGGATCCGAGTCCTGTCCCACCGCACAGACACCTGTGGGTGGGCAGAGGCACATGAGGCTGGCGGCTCTCAGAGCGCCGCCCACATCCCTTCCCCTCGGTCCCTTACCTGGTGCCACCGGCCAGCCCGACTGCGCAGGCGGCTCTGAACCCGGAGCTGGGGCACAGGACCGCCTGCTGTCTGAGCCACGAAGTGTCTGTGGCTCAGGAAGAGAGTCAGGGTGGGGCTGCCAGCTGCCAGGGGCACGGCGAGGACCAGGAGCCCACTTCGGGAGCGGGGGCGGACCAGCATCGAGAGGCGGGACCTGGAGGACACATGGGGAGTCAGCCCAGGGAGCCCCCTGTGCCCGCCCTGCCCCACCCTGCCCAGCTTACCGGTTGCTAAGGGGTGCTGGGATGCCTGTGAACTCCAGGGAACTGGGCAGGGGGCCCCCAAACTGGTAGGTGCCCTGGATGATCCCCAGGCGCTGTGGCGTGCAGGCGGGGTCCTGGGCGGGCTGCCGGCTGCGCCGCGAGGCCTGTGGGGTGCAGGGGTGCTTGGGGGCTGTCTTCCACCCACCCCCAGCTCCGTCCACCCTAACCCGACCCCAATGCCCACCTTCCGAGCCACCGTGGCCTGTAGTCCTTGAGGTGTGGGTGATGCTCGGGGGCTGGGGGCCAGGGGGCAGCCTGAGCTCACACTGACGCCCCCCAAGTTCTGCTGCAGGTCAAACACACGCTGGGGCCCCTCCAGCCTGCCGGGGGTGGTGGGAGGCAGTCATCCATGCAGGCTGCGCCCGGGTGGGGCGTCAGCACCAGCCTCCCCACACCTGCTCAGCTCACCTCTGCACGAAAACATTGCTGATGCAGCCACTGAAGTTGCGGAAGGTGTCCGGCTCAGGCAGGCCGCCCAGGAGGAGCCGGGGGGGCTCCGCAAGCTGCGGCCGGGGTCTGGGGGACGGCCCTCGGTGGGGTGCCATCTGCTGAAGCTGGTCGTCCACGTACAGCCAGACCCTGTGGGGAGAGCCTTGGATCTCCTCCCTGCCCCCACCCCGCCTGCAGTAGGGCGGCCACATAGCTTGCCTCTCAGCCGCCGCCCCACCCACTCCTGGCTCACCCTGTGGCATTGCTGTAGAAGGCGACGTAATGGGGGGCGCCGTCCGCAAAGCCCCCTGGTGACTTGACCTCGGTCCTCACAAACCGGAGGGTCACATGGCCCTGCTGCAGGGACACATCGCATAGCCCGTCCTAGGGACAGTGGTCAGGTCAGCAGACCAAGCTGGGGTCCCAGTCTTCCTCCCTCCCCCGCATGGGCCCTGACCCCCAGCTGCAGGAGGTCAGAGCCCGCGAGGGGAGAGCCGGGCTGAGTGGTGCCGCTGGACGCACCGGGGAGGCTCTGTGGTACAGCAGACCGCTGTCCTGGGTGCTGCGGAAGCCGAAGCCAGAGTAGACTTGGCCGGTGAGGGGCGAGACGTCTGGGAGCGCCAGGGGCAGGAAGCCGCGGCCGTGGAATGTCATGGCCCGTCCCACCTGCAGGCAGGCGACAGTGTGGCTGAGGCCCGCCCGCGGGAGAGGGGCCGCTAGCGGGGGCGGGCGCGGGGCTCACCAGCAGGTCCGCGGTGCAGCCAGCGCTGATGCCCGTGGTGTTCAGCCGCTTGAGATCCACGTACTTGCCCAGAGACTTGATGCCCTTGACGCAGCCACGCACGGAGCCCCCGGTGGGGAAGAGCCGCTGCAGGCTGGGGGGCGAGCGTGTGTTGGGGACTGGCATGAGGGTGGGGAGGGTGGGCGTGGTTGAGGGGGCGCGCAGGCTCACCTCGGGGGCAGCTGGTCCAGCGGCACGCCCCCTAAGTAGTAGGAGTCGGCCAGCTGCAGCGCGTTGTCCTGGTCCACGCTGAACACGTTGGCTCTCTCCACACGCACCAGCACGCGCTGGCGGCCGCCCCCCAGCAGTAACACCTGGATCTGGACGGCGGAACAGGGGCTGCAGCGCCTGCGGCGTCCGCGGGCCCCTCCCGCCCCAGGCCATCCCACCCAGCTCCAGCCTTACTGCCTTGCTGGCCGAGGTCAGGAGCGGCCGGGTCGTCAGCGGGACAGCCTCCTTCAGGCCCTCGCCGAAGTCATAGAGGAGGTGGAGACTGCCCTCCATCACCGCCAGACACAAGAACTGGCCCTGAGGGGTGGGCGGAGTCAGCACGGGGTGGGGCTGGCAGGGTGGGCGGGGGGAATGGGCGGAGCCAGTGTGGGAGAGGTGGGCTCAGCAGGCCTGCCTGGTGCTGCAGGAAGAAGATGATCCCGTTGGAGGACACCAGCCGGAGCTCCTGCTCAAAGCGCTTGGTGTTGCCTGACGGACTGGCCGCTTTGATGTGGGCGAAGCCGGAGCCCTCCAGGTAGGAGCCATCTGTGAGCCACGGGTCTCCTGTCGACTTGGAACTGCAGGTCAGAGGTCACAGGGGTCAGAGGAGAGTGGGCCAAGCAGGGGTGAGGGGCGGGGCCCCAGGCGGCGCCTACCGCGGACAAGGCTTATCCACTGCCGTGTTGACCCGGAAGGTCTGCTCGAAGTTGTAGAGGCTGATCACCTCCTCGTTGAGCGTGCCGACCTCAATGCAGCCTTTGTACCCAGGGAGGCGCAGTGGCTCTGGGGGCTGTGGGCACAGCGTGTGGTCAGGGTGCGCCAGCAGGACTTGCCGGAACAAGCACGTGGGGGGGTGTGGCCGCGTAGCCAGGCCCAGCCAGGCTCACCGTGAAGCTGCTGGGGTAGCCCCCCACGTAGAAGACGAAGTTGTCAGGCTGCAGGCTGAGCAGCCCCTCCGCCCCGGGGGCCACAGTGTCGCCCTTGGTCTCATGGATCACCCGCTTCTCCACCGTCACAGACATGTGGCCGAACTGGAGGGTCCTGAAAGGCAGAGCGACGCCGTTTGGGGTGGGCACTCAGCCCTGGCAAGGGGTGGGCGAGGCGGTAGGGGGCTGGCTCCCCACCTGTCGATGCTGACGGCTGCAAACTGCTCCCCGATGCTCTCGTCCACGCTGAGGTTGGCAGGGCCCGCGGCCCCCAGGCGGTACACCCAGTGCACCTTCTGGTCGCGGAGGGCCACGCCCATGTAGTCGCCAGTGGCCTGTTGACGGGAGACACGGTGGGACAGGGACCCCGCATG